GCTGTATGATATATGATGGAACCTCTTGTTCCTATGTTGTTTTAAGTCATGTGTTTGTTTTTGTTGATGTGTTTTAAAATTAAAATAAAATAAAAAAATTCGGGAGGCATCAATTGATGACGGTTGGAGTGTCCGGGGTGTGGGTGTGATGTGATCTCCCTTTCGGGACCTTCTGGAAAGCAAAATCAACGATGAAGCCAAACTCACTTAGCAACCGTGGGACTGACTTTTAACAACTGCGGCGATTCGCTTAACGAGCATGTCGAGGAAGGTTATAAAACGGGGCGAAACTCATTTCACTGCCTGGCTTTAGTGAGGGAAATTTTTGATCTGCTTCGCTTGTGATCTGGGTCCTGTTCCCAATTTCCAACCCCACCCCGCTTTTTAAAAGGCGGCTCACCAAATGGGAGGAGGCTTAGTGAGATGGCAAGGAATTCAGAATACGTACCCAGGTAGTCATCCATCAGGGATCCAATGGCAAACTGCGGAAAGAAAAATAAGAAGAGAGCGGATGAAAGAGAGAAAAAGACAGTAAAACAAAGAGGGAAGGAGGGAGGGAGGGAGGAAGAGCAACAAGAGTGCAGGAAGAAGATAGGAAGGTGAGAAAAAGGAAAGGACAGAGGGAAGGAATGAAAGAAAGAGACAGGCAGAGGAAGGAAGGAAGGAAGGAAGGAAGGAAGGAAGGAAGGAAGGAAGGAAGGAAGAACAGGGAGATAGGGAGGGAGGAAGAGCAACAAGAATGCAGGAAGAAGATAGGAAGGTGAGAAAAAGGGAAGGACAGAGGGAGGAATGAAAGAGAGTCAGGCAGGCAGGAAAGAGAAGGAAGGAAGGAAGGAAGGAAGGAAGAACAGGGAGGGAGGGAAGGAAGAGCAACAAGAATGCAGGAAGAAGATAGGAAGGTGAGAAAAAGGAAAGGACAGAGGGAAGGAATGAAAGAGAGAGAGAGGCAGGCAGGAGAAGGAAGAAAGGAAGGAAGAACGGGGGAGGGAGGGAGGGAAGGAAGAGTAACAAAAATGCCGGAAGAAGATAGGAAGGTGAGAAAAAGGGAAGGACAGAGGGAGGAATGAAAGAGAGAGTCAGGCAGGCAGGAAAGAGAAGGAAGGAAAGGAAGGAAGGAAAGAAGGAAGGACAGGGAGGGAGGAAGGGAAGGAAGAGCAACAAGAGTGCAGGAAGAAGATAGGAAGGTGAGAAAAAGGAAAGGACAGAGGGAAGGAATGAAAGAGAGAGCGAGGCAGGCAGGAGAAGGAAGAAAGGAAGGAAGAACGGGGGAGGGAGGGAGGGAAGGAAGAGTAACAAAAATGCAGGAAGAAGATAGGAAGATGAGAAAAAGGAAAGGACAGAAAAAAGAAATGAAAGAGAGAGACAGGCAGGCAGGGGAAGGAAGGAAGGAAGGAAGGAAGGAAGGAAGGAAGGAAGGAAGGACGGGGAGAGAGGGAAAGAAGGAAGAGCAACAAGAATGCAGGAAGAAGATAGGAAGGTGAGAAAAAGGGAAGGACAGAGGGAAGGAATGAAAGAGAGAGAGAGAGGGGCAGACAGACAGAAGAAGGAGAGAAATAGGGAAGGAAGGTAGGTTTAATTCAAACTGCTATAAAGTGGCCCTATATTATCCCAAATTTCCAGAACAGGAATTCTGTCCCCTTCCGTCGTAGAAGACCCAAAAGACAATTTCGACAGGAGTTTGCCAGAACTAGAACAACCCTTCTCTCGAAATAAAGTTTCTAGTCCTCACGATTGTGAGTACGAGACACCGATTCTTGCCAAGACTGACTTTAGCTCAGCCCTGACCTCACGAAAACTGGGGGGGGAATGGATCCCCGGATTGCCAAAACCGGATTCCCATCCTTCTCGTTTCCTTGAGTAAGTCGAAACAGAGGCAATTGGGAAGGTCCGATTCAGCAGCTAACTCTTATTCCAAGCTCCAGTTTGTTTGCAAGTGAAATGGGCGGTGTAGAAGTTGGATAAACAAATAAAATAAAATCATTGTTTACAAAGTGTGCTTGAGCAAAGACCAGCCAGAATCCAACCGGTGTAGAAATATTCCTCCCAATTCCAATAATCCTCTAAAACCAAAATATTGGGATTTTTTTTCCGCACCTCCGTTTCTCCAACGCTACCATTTGGAAGCCAGAGGAAGTAATTTTAATACAGAGGAAAGGAATATTGGCCAAAACTATTTCTCTCCATGGTTTCTCGGCGGATTTTTCCCCAGCAGATATGACGCATCCATTATTTAATTCTCCGCCTGTATTGGATATGCAGGTGGACGAATAAACGGGAGAGACCCCCGTATGGCCAGAATAAGATTGAGGAAGGGTCAGCGTTCAAATGACGCAACTCACTATGTCGTTCTTGTCCACTCTGGTCCCTACAATCTTCAATCGGATATTATCTTCAGGCTGGATTACAATGTCCTGGTTTGGGAGACAAAAAAACCCCCAGAGACAATAATATCAAGACTTTTTAAGAGGGGTGGGCTTCAACTCCCAGAATCCCCCAGCCAGCTTGCTTTAAGATGGGTGGGCTTCAACTCCCAGAATCCCCCAGCCAGCCTGCTTTGAGATGGATGGACTTCAACTCCCAGAATCCCCCAGCCAGCTTGCTTTAAGACGGATGGACTTCAACTCCCAGAATCTCCCAGCCAGCTTGCTTTAAGACGGGTGGATTTCAACTCCCAGAATCCCCCATCTAGCTTGCTTTAAAATGGGTGGGCTTCAATTCCCAGAATCCCCCAGCCAGCTTGCTTTAAGATGGGTGGACTTCAACTCCCAGAATCCCCCAGCCAGCTTGCTTTAAGACGGATGGACTTCAACTCCCAGAATCTCCCAGCCAGCTTGCTTTAAGACGGGTGGATTTCAACTCCCAGAATCCCCCATCTAGCTTGCTTTAAAATGGGTGGGCTTCAATTCCCAGAATCCCCCAGCCAGCTTGCTTTAAGATGGGTGGACTTCAACTCCCAGAATCCCCCAGCCAGCTTGCTTTAAGACGGGTGGACTTCAACGCCCAGAATCCCCCAGCCAGCTTGCTTTAAGACGGGTGGACTTCAACGCCCAGATTCCCCCAGCCAGCTTGCTTTAAGATGGGTGG